CCTTGGCCTAACTGGTAAGACGCGTTTTGTAAAGCCGTGCGGGTTAACCCAAAGCGGACAGTATCTGACCCGGTTGGCCAAGGTGCGTATCAATATGTATCAAAGACTTCTTTGAACTTCAATGTTTTGCATTTAAATTTTGGTATTATAGCATGCCTGATACCTCTAAATATATTTGTTTTTTATGCTGCCTGCATTATCTGTTAGTTAGGTGTAGTATTGGTTAGAATTTAGAACTGTGGAATTGGTACCTGTTTCCCGGGGTCATGCAAACCCCTCCCCCCCCCCTTTTTCCATACGACCGGACAAATTTCTAACCTTCCAGCCAGGGGGCATGTCCCACAACAGGAATTGATAGCATGCACCTGACTGGATTCAGACCTTGAGACCTAATCTCATGGGGCTGGATGTAGTATTGTTGCTGTCATAGTGTTTGTGTTGCATGGGTGCCAATTTCCCCCCCTTTAGATAGACTATGATCATATTGCTGTAGTATTTAGATAAACCTTCCATTTATGGGTAAAATTTGAACTTCTGATCTTTCAAGCCCACTTACATGAAAGAATGCCGCAGGTCACATAGCCTGAAATAATAGAATATCAGTTGCTTCTTTATTGTAACATGACCTATTCTTGGATTTTATTTATTTTTATTCATGGCTCAATGCTCATACAAAGCTTCAGCTGCCTCTTTATTCTTACTTTGTCCAAGGTATACCATTGCATGACACTCTTGGTTTGATAAGCATAGGTTGGATACTTGATTTGGTTTTCTTCATTGGCTTATCCAAAATTTTGACCTATTTCACTTGTAACAACTTCGCCAAGGACCAAAGGGCCTTTGGCCTAGCGGTATCGTAGCCCTTGGCCTTCTAGGAGGTCAGGGGGTTCAAACCTCACCATAGGTGAGGAGGGTGTGTGAGTTTATTTGTTGCATTTGCCGTATATAAATATTATATACTTAAAAAAAAAACAACTTCGCCAAGGATTGAAAAAGGAAATTTCAGATATGTTGTGATTGGATCTTAACTACCATATTCTGAGGTAATATGGTTAAAAGTTGAATACTTTTAGATGTTATTTTTGTGTTGAGATGGCAGAGGAAGTAAATGAAGGCTTGTTCTCACCTCTTTTGGCATGAGCTATCAGAAGGATGCCCTTTCCACTCCTATCTCACTCTTTATCCACCTGTCTGAAGATTTAGTATATGGGTGTCACACATGATATTTCTTGCTAGGAACATTATCATTTCTCTTAGGCTTCAAGGAATTGGCATGTTGCCTTGTGTTTCCTGGTTCAAAATCCATCACTGATGCATACATTATGTCCAACCGTCCTGCTTCTTAGAACTGTCAGGTTGAAGAGAAAAAAGGCGGCTTTCCGGCTTCCTCTTCCCATCTATGCTTCGTAAAACTAATGTTTTGTTTCTACTCCCCCAAAAATATTGTTGTAAACCACAATAATGGTAATTAGAACATAGGATGTTATTACTTCTATTAAATGATAGGTGCATTCAATTGCATATATGTACAGAGAGTTAAGGAAGTGGCTCTTTTCTAAGCATTTTTACCAAGTAAGAATGACAGAGTACAAGAGTAGTAAATTATGTATCTACACGTGTGAGGGTTGTGCTATACTTGATGCCATTTCCTCATATCTTGCTTCCACTCCTGCCCCCACTGTGTTCGTTATAATTATGACAAACATATGAGCAACTGAGATGAAGTGCAGTTAAAAGGTTTGTGCATGCAATTGCTAAAAACCCCCCATGTAGTCCCCATGTACACTTGTTAAGCAGGACACTTCTAACCCCGCCAATATTCCCTACAAATACATTCCATTGTATTACAGTTAAATGAAAAGACATACATTTCATATTTTTAGTACTGTCTACAGAAACTTTTGTAAGCTATTGTAACCTAAACCTAATTCGAGTTGGTGGAATAAGAAATATTAGTGGAAGTATACAAATTTATCACCAGTATTCCAAAGAGACTAAAATGTGAAGTTTCTATTTCCCACAACATGACAATGGATAGTTTGGTATGTACAAAATCACATGGTCTAAAGTTCTACTTAATTTTTGTTGAGGGACCTTTATGCCAATTTTTGTTTTGCATGTACTATAAACTTCTAATAACTTTTGTATTGATTCTGTATTTTTGTTTCTTTACCTTTCACTTTGTTTTCGTTACTCATATACCTTTCTCTTCATCTCAGGTATGGTTTCTATGATGAATGTTTGAGGAAGTACGGAAATGCAAATGTTTGGAAGCATTTTACTGACCTTTTTGATTACCTACCTCTTACAGCACTTATCGAGAGCCAGGTTAGAATAACAGACACATGTTTATCCCTGTCATACGTCTTGTTGCCGTAACTAATGGACCTGTTGCTGCATCATATAGATCTTTTGCTTGCATGGAGGTCTTTCACCATCATTGGATACGCTAGACAATATCCGAGCCTTGGACCGCATACAGGAGGTACTTGAACTTTTAGAATAGAATGTCTTTTGATTTGAAAATGATCTTTCCTTCATCGCATGAAATGATCATGGAATTACACACATTCTATTATGAACCTACACTTTCTTATTTCCATATTTGGAAGAAGTTTCTTTAAGTGTGTATTTGTTGCCTTATCTTTTCAAAAAATACATGCTCTTCCACGTGGATTTCATTTACCAGTTTGTACATGGTAATTAGTTTAATGATGCTTTGCTTCCATATAGGCTATAGCACTACTTCACCTGCATCAGTATTTTTTGATGTGAGGCCGAATTAATCATTTTTTTAAAGTATATAATATTCTTATACGGCAAATAGAACAAATAAACTCACACCCTCCTCGTGAGGTTTGAACCATTGACCTCCTAGGAGGGCAAAGACCCTTTAGGGAACTCTTTAATTCCTTAATTCTGCTGAAACTGTTTTTTTCTTTCAGATTTACCTACTTTGTGTGATGACTTTGTAGGTTCCACATGAGGGACCTATGTGCGATCTATTGTGGTCTGATCCGGATGACAGATGTGGATGGGGGATTTCTCCACGTGGAGCTGGCTATACTTTTGGACAAGATATAGCTTCTCAGTTTAATCATACTAATGGACTCAGTCTGATCTCAAGAGCACACCAGCTCGTCATGGAAGGTTTCAACTGGTGCCAGGTTCGTCAATCTCTGTGACCATCAAAACATTTTTATGGCCAGCTAAGTCCTGTCTGCATAAAGTTGTGTGTGTAAATTAGGAAGATTTTTGTTTAGGAAGGTTGTTTCATAGATGGAAGGAGCGTGTTTTTTTTATTGAGAGGGGCAGGTTTGGAAGCTTACTAAATAAGCCAACTTTCTATATTATTAAGCCACCACCAAATATTCATGTATAGCTGACTGAATAAGTTGTGAGTCCCATTAAGATCATTAAGCTGCTAACAATCAGGCCCGATATGGTTATTGCTAACCTCTTTTATACCTGAATTGCCTTCCACTTTCTTTAATTAGGTAGGTATTATGCTTTACTATCAGTATTGACATGGACTATTTTACGTTTTTTTGCATACCCGCCAAAGTTCATTTGATTACTATCTTTGTAGTTTCTCCAGCTTAGAAGCTGTTTGGTTGGTTTTTCAGTAAGTTCTATATACAAAAGCTGAATGGATCTATCTGTATAGACTGGAAAGATTTTTGTTTGAAAGGGTTTTTTCATGGATGGAAAGAGCGTGTTTTCTAACTGAAAGAGGCAGATGTGGAAAAAAACTTGGCTTTTTGCATAAATCTCCCCCTAGAAGCTTACTGAATAAACAACTTTATATGCATCAAGCCACTACCTAACAATCATGTAGCTGGCCGAATAAGTTGTCAGTCCCATTCAACTAATTAAACTGCTAAGAAACATGCCTTAGTTTTACACACAAGTCTTTGTGGTAAAGATTAATTGATTACTATTTTTGTTGTAATTTCATGGTCCCACAACAGTAAGGATGGATTTCGAGTATTATTTATATCGAGTCTCATTTATTTCTATTCTCAGGAAAAGAATGTGGTGACGGTATTTAGTGCTCCAAACTACTGTTATCGGTGTGGGAACATGGCTGCTATTCTGGAAATCGGCGAAAACATGGAACAGAACTTTCTTCAATTCGATCCGGCCCCAAGACAGATTGAGCCAGACACTACTCGAAAGACACCTGATTACTTTTTATAATCAAATCGATCTCGATACTTACGCCCAAATGGGTGGGTTGTTTGTAAACCCCCTCTCTTGTAGATGTTTATCTTAAGAAAAGAGAGGAGTTTTGTTGTTTATTGTCAACATCATTCTTTGTTGACAAAACCAAACTCGCATTTTCTTCTTTTTTGTCATCTTTTGTGCATATGTTCTTCAGAGAAGGAAAAGGCAGACAGTAATATTGTGGTGCACTATTTTTGCAAATTTTTATGTTAGAAAAAAAAAAACTAAACAAGACTTTTCATGAATGTCCTGGCAATTACTGGTATATAATCTTCAATGTCTTTGTTTGTCAAATTAGCTGATAAAGATAGCTGCTAGTTGATAAATTAATTGGTCACGTTTATTAAAAACTAGCTGATGAGTTGGATGATAGAAAAAGTTTTTGGTCATTTATGATTGAAAAAGAACCCTTTCGGAGCTTATTGAAGCACCAAGGGGCAGTCAATCAAGCGCTTATTGGTAAGAATCACCACTCTCTCTTAACTTATCGGTAACATTCTTGGTCATTAAAATGGATTGTTAGTAAGCGTCTAGTACCCGATGATCACTAACCGCATAAGCCTTCTCCATTACTCATCGGGTAAAATTCTTGGTACTGGGAAGATCGTTGGTTCTTGACATGCTTACCTTGTAAGGTAATTAACACTTAATAAACACTTATCCGGTAAGTGTATGGTAAAGTAGCTTTTCAGAAGTTAGCTTATAAGCTAATTTATGACCTGATCTTTTTTAACAAGCTCAAAAAACAAGTCAACCCTTTGACATCACCCGAGCTTTCAAAGTCTAAAACGGTCAAATTTTAGAGTAACTTACAACCTTTGGAGCATGATGCATAACATAGTCATGCAATTTCTTCTGCACCTGGATGATATCTTGCATATTTAAACAAGAAATGTGCACCGGTTAACTGAATATTTTTGTTAAAGATAGTTTTACAGATGGAGCATATAACTCAAAATTACAAGCTTTTGTGTGGCCTAATGTTTTGCAAAATAACAAAAGAATCATCTGATTACATGCTATCATACAAAGAAAGAAAAAGGAGGCAAACATCCATTCATCGATCGATCGATCCAGTACCTAATTAATAATCTGTACCATAGGAAGTACGTGTCTAGTCGTTTGGCCGAAACTTAAAACCTCGAGTTGGTAGGAACTCTTACTGCTCCCGGCATAACCAAAGTTCCCTTACGTCTGAAGATTACAAATAAACTACTTGCCAGCAGCAGCAATATTATTGCCTGTGTCCCATGTTGATCACAAAATGAGTCAATCTCAAGAATGAACTCCAAATAATGCATAAAGGGATCCTCATGTAAACAACATATTTAAAAACCTAAAACCGAACCAAACCAAACCAAACTAACACAGTAAATCCCACCCCACGGGGCGGCCGAGGGGTGGTACACACTCTACCCGAAAGAGTAGATTTGTTTCCATGAAGACCCCCTGCGTGCAACGTGTGAGCAAGCAGGTAGAAGGAATAAAGATTAACGTATGGTGAACGAAGCAGCAGAAAAATTGGCTTGTTTGTTAGCAGCTTAATGAGCTTAATGGAACTCACAGCTTATTCGGTCAGCTATACATGACTGTTTGGTAGTGGCTTAATAATATAGAAGAAGGTGGCTTATTCAATGGACTTCTAGGGGAGCTTTATGCAGAAAGACAGGTTTTTTCCAAACCTTTCCCTCCCAATTAAGAAACACTCTCCTTCCATCTATTTAAAAAGCCCTTGCAAACAAAAACCTCCCCAATCTATGTAGACAGATTAATCCATACATACAGCTTTATACATTCACAACTTAATGGAAAACCAACCAAATAGCCCCTTAAGTGTTTGGTAAGCATCCCCTTATTGCCTCTTACTGGGTAACTAAACATTATACTGGCTCTTACCGGGTAAGAGACGCTTATCAGGTCAAATATGATAGTGTTTATCAATAAACTTACGTACCATATTGTTGACCAAGAATCTTACCCGGTAAGTGAGGGTGGTGACTCTTACTGGGTCAACGTTTACCACCGACCTGGTCAGAGATGATGGTAATTACCAACAATCTTAGCCAGTAAGGCAAGTGAGGGTTGGGACAGTTTCACGAATTCATAAATGTTATAACGTTTATAGACTTACAGATTTATCTAATCACTTTTATAACTTCATTTTAATCGTGAGTCCATAAAGTTTATGTAGGATTACATTCTAACAGATTTCTAGAGTCTATTAAAAGATCCTAAGACCCTAGTTTAATTTGTCATGGAATAAGGATTCAGAAGACGTTTGTATACTATATAATAAGACGAGGAATCATTGCTGACCGAGTTTCCAATTCTCCTTACCATTATCACTTTTATAGATTTATCTAATCACATCACTCACATTTTCACGAATTCATAAACGTTATTGACTCACGATTAAAATGAAGTTGTAAAATTACTTTTCTAAGTTCTATTTTAAATATTCAATCAAAACCAATTTTTATAATAATAATCTATATGATTTTTCTTCTTCTAGTATGAATGTACATTTTTTGATATCATTATATGATTAGAATAATATATAGAAAACATATATGTATATGTATAATTCTATATATAACATACAAATTTGCCGCTTTATGTCAGGCCTAGAAAAACGCCGCGTCCTCGCCGTTGCGTGTAAGGCTTGAGGCTTGACCTTGCCGCCACGCCTCACGCCATTTCGAACCTTGAGTAATACTTTAGTATCTCTTCATTACATCTTAAAAAAAGCAAATAATTTATTATCTTTTTGAAGATAATGCATTAAATTTTTGGTTAACTTAATCATGCTATCTTTTATTTATGTTTTCTTGTATCTTTTATGTTTTCAAACTCGTATGTACTATGTTACTATGCCACTTTTCCCTCATGTCTCTTTGTTGCTTGCTTTTGCTTTGCAAACGAGTCCTTCACGGAAACAATCTCTCTACCCTTGGGAGTAGAGGTAAGATCTACATGCATCTTACTCCCGACCCTACCTCTGTGTGGGATATACTGGGTTCATTTGGTTTTAATGATCCTATCATAACTCAGCTATTGGTTAAATTATTATATTATATAATTACATATGCTATTTCAGATGTAAGTGGACATGTACCTTTTCTAATGTTTCACTTAAAAAAATCTGCATAGGTATGGACAAAGAGCTAGTGGAAAATAAAGAGATGAGGTGCGGGATTACTAATTGAGAACAAACCTCAAAGCCAAGTACCGAAAGCTTCTCTTCGTTAATGGCAGGTATACAGCTTCTGTAAGTTATGTAGATTCCTGATCCATCTTCTCTGCTGGATGACTCTTCCAATAGATTTCGCTGTCTTATTAAAGTAGTCGGATCTTCTGCATTGTGCACCAATACATGTAATTTTAGTTTGTCAGCATTTTCAAGAGTACTTCGGCCCTTCTGCCTCTTCTTGTCATTTTCTTCATCTACCTGAGTTTCAAGGTTCCTACACTTCATAGGAATACGATACCCAGTTTCACTACAGCGGTAAGTATCATCTTTCTGCAAGAAGATATGAAATGTAGGTAAGTAGGAAGAAGCCAATGATTCTTGAAAGTAAACAAAGGATTGTGGTTTAGTCTCTCCTCTCTCTCACACACAGTAACACAAGATCTCTGCTCTTCCATCTCTCCCATCTTCTTCTTTAGATTTTCTTTTAAGGTTAGATCTTTGTGAATTATACCTATAAATGAATATCCTTATGAAGGGTACTGTGAAGATTCCGATCATAGAACAATAACACCCGAGGAATATACACCAGGATGTAATAAAAAATATATGAAGATACCATGATGCAATAAAAAATATATGAAGAAACAAGTTACATCTTTCATAAGCTATTAGTCTCTTAAAAGAGCAGCTTAATTATGTAGCCTGAGATTCCAAGGAGGAGGTTTGCCTTGATAAAATAAGAGCATAACACGTTACTTGAATGGATACTCGTGAATAATGAGTCATATAGATGGCAACTTCCTACAATCTAGCACGAGTGTTTTCCGACAGACAAAGTTCATTCTCTTAAGTGTTGTGTAGCAGAACCACTGTACTTATTATGTGTAAGCTGTTAGGCTTCTATCCCATGCAAACTTTGTTGAATTTTGCATGGCATGGAAAACCTAATGAATTCTAGCAATAGAAAAGGTGCTTACCATTACAATACAATACTTTCCTAGCAGCTTTGCAGAACTATCATAAATGCCATTGTGCCTAAAAGATAATTCTAATCATAGTTTTATGGAGCATGGAGCATATGCCAATAAAAAATTGGAAGTTTGGTAGTTTATTACCACAGGGATATATTCACTAGCCACAAGACTTGGCATACTTTGTCGGAGAACTCCCACATTACTTTATTCGTAACATACATACATATATATATAAGGCACTAAGAGATGTATCATCTATCACGAGTGCCAAATGCATTAACTAGCTGTATCATGAGTACTGAGCAATTACCATCATATTGTCCCTGACAACCATTATGTACACACTTGCACCCAAATAGACCGTGTTCATGTGACTATGATATTCCTAGGACAACAGTAAAGGGAACCCCTTGCTAATTGCTATCCATAATTCCTAGTAAAACATGGGTAGTTCATGTTTACCTTCCTCGATTCAACATAAAACTACATTGAATTGCTCAAGCAATTTTGCATTCTTGTGTCTCTGTGTATGGTTCAACGTAATTGTCCAATAGAACGCAAATACACTCTCCTGTTGAAAAAAAAAACCCTAATAATACTAAAGGAGATACAATTTGACTTTCGCTATTAAACGGGTGCTTGTCAACTAAAAGGTTGACAGGATTTTCCCTTTCTTTGAGATATGAAAAACAAGGTAACCAAATTATACTTATAGAGTGCATACACATTACAACTAGAATTGTATTGGTGTCTTCATCCCTCAAAAAGAAGTCCACATTTGACAGGAATGAGTTACTTTTTTATCTTCAAAATTGACAACTATTTTGGTTGAGGATTAATTGATTACTACATTAGCATGGTAAAATCAATCCAAAGTAACCGAGAAAATCTCACACAACCTCGAAGGATGGAGGGGTAAAATAGTATTTAAATTTAAAAAAATGGGGATAGACAATCGAAAACACCTATCATCTATGTCAATTTTGATTTTGGAGAGTACTACAGTTGATAATTCATATCAAACTCGAACATTTTTTGTGACTGAGATAGTATTTTCAGAAAGGGTCAGCATCATCTTGGATTCTGCTACCCAATGAAAATGCATCAACATACTTAAATCAAGTCTATGTGAAACATATCCTACCCTTCCTTAGCATAGATCAAACATTGCAGTCACATAGATAAAGAAAAACACAAAACATAAATACATAATACTGACTGCAAATGATTATGTGAGGCGATGAGACCTTTTCCGAGTATTGGCAAGGGACGCATGGACCAGAAGGAGAGCAATCGAAAGTTATGTTTGTGCCAGTTTTCTTTTCCTTAAAACTCTTCAAACTTCTCAGTCCAACTCCTCTTCCTCTTCCTCCTCCTCTGCACAATTTTCGAATCAAAATCCTCAAAATTAATTGATCGGTAAAGAAATAACAGATTATTGACAAGATATCATTGAATTTGGATCATATTTGTAACAATTTACATTATACATATAGAAAGAGGGTTTTCTTACAATTCCTGTGGTATGGATAGATCTGAGGAAGCATAAACCACGAAGAAATTAAAAATAATGGCAGCTATGAACAGAGGCTGATGAAGATCGAACGATGTGAATTTGGAAGACGCCGTCGGCATCTTCACCGTAGATTCTTCCGAACTGCGTTTTCCCTATATTTGTCTATTTTCATCCGCAGAGATCAATTTGATCAGAGCGGTGATCAAATGTTTACAGATAATGCCCCTATACTTTAATTAAATGTCACTCAGGTCCCTAAATTGTCATTAAGCTCAACAAAATAATTAAGACCCTTTTTGTTAATAGCTTAATGAGCTTAATTGGACTTGCACCTTATTTGGTCATTATAAATGACTATTTGGTGGTGACTTAATGATATAGAAAGTGGTTTATTCAGTAAGTTTTTAAGATGAACTTTATATAGAAAGTTAATTTTTTTTCCAAAACCGCACTCCTGATTAAAAAAAATATTTTCATCTATATGTAAAAAAACTCTTATAAATAAAACTTTATTCATACAGGACTTAATCAAATACTAACCAAACAACAAGCGATCAACTTTTAATCATTTATTCCCCATTAGAAATTGTTAATAGTATAGATCTAAAAAATCCACATTTTCTTATTTATGTATATTGAATGATATTTTTAAATATTTAATAAATAATCAAATATTATTTTAATATATAATAAAAAATTATATATCTGATGGTCAATTATAAGATTTATTTAATTTTAATACCTATTATAGACCATGTTGATGGTCTTTTCAGAAACATCTTACATTTACATATATCTTATCTTTTCACTATTTACTTTCAAATAGGATATATTGAATTTATTTGATTTGGTTTATTCCCCCATCTTTCACAAATATATAGAGGGTTGGGTTCATATAACATCGTTCTGTTTTTGCGAAGCCTATGAGACCAATTTCTTACACTTGAAACTTCACAGCAAAAACACTGTAAATGTTAGCTTCACAGCGTTTTGCTGTGAAGTTTCAAGTGTAAAAAAATGGTCTCATGGATCTCACGAAAACAGACTTGTCTCACGTGATCTCAAGTGTGTGTGTATATATATATATATATAGTGTCATCTCTATCAAATAAACATACAGATGATTATTTATATGTTGTATTTCTATTTCGCACCGAAGGTCTCTACTAAAAATTACATATCTATAATTTGTAAATATACACTATTTTGCACCCAGTTGTTTCTTTAATTTTTAAAACAACCTTAAAATCAGGATAATTAAAAAATTATGATGAAAATAACACATGAATACAAGAGAAGTCGGAAAGAGAAGACATTTCGGCCATGTTTGACAACTATAAACTAACTTATTGAAAAACAATAATAAAAAATTTAAACGATGCAAACATGGTATAAAATCATTCTTCTGCTCTAATGGTCGGTTTTTTGTTTTCATTAACTAGCCCCTCATTCACCTTTTACAGTAAAAATTTGTTCTCCATATGATTATCATATTAATTTGTATATTACCTTCTTTCATTAAAATCCTAAAATCCCAACCACTATTCAGTTAAATTCTTATTTATGCCCGTTTTCATTAAAGTTCCCATACAACATACAAAACAACTGTATCAAAAGTTGCACTCGTTTTTCCTCATCCTTTTCCAAAACTTTGCTTTGTCATGTGTGCTTGTTTTATACGTAGATGACATGAATGACGGATAAATCGTAGTTTTTGTGATGCTATTGATGCTCGAATTCATAACACCAGGGTTGTCTCAATCTTTTTAGAAAAATTCTGTTACACTTGTAGTAAAACTATCGATCGTCTTAAATGAGTAATACACAAGATAAAATATAAATTATCATATCATATTAAAAATCTTACAAATTAAAACAAGAAAGAGGATGAAAATGAAATAGTCGTTTTGTTTTTTTATCAGAAAATTTTGAATTTAAACAGTTTCTTTTGATTTTGAAAGAAATTAGATAGTTTTTCATTAAGATGAGTTCACATGTTGGATTATATAAATCCAGGCCATAGATGCAGTTAAAATCGGGGCCCGAAATTTTGGGGTCCTGATCAGAAATCAAGATTTAACGTGTTAATAATCGGCCATGCATAACACGATGTTTTGTAGTCCGTTAAAATGATTTTCAGGCTATCAAAATCCGTTAGTCACATACTTGGACCGTGTCACTGTGGAGGGAGTATATTTACATTTTAAGTGGAATTGGAGGGGTAAAATGGAGTTTTGTTAATAGTTAAGGGACTTGTAAGACAAATCTTTCGTACAATATAATAACTACACTCTTCTTATCCACCTAATAACGGAGCTTCTTTCGTAAACGGTCTAATGGAAGCGGGAAATCTTCTCCGTTCAGTCCCGTTAAACCCTCATATCTCCTCTGGTCACCGTCTTCCCACTTTCCGGCAATTCGTTAGGGTTTCCGCCAACTTACAGGTTACTTGCCTTCTCTCTTTGAATGTATATGTATGCGTATATGTACAGGTATCTCTCTCTAATTCAAGTTTCTATTGGACGATCGAAGGGAGGTTATAGAGGACCAAGGCCAAAGAGGGAATTAATTGCTGAATGGGTATCAAACAATGATGATGCTGTCAGGAGCATGCCGATCTACGTCGGAGGGATCTCTCTGTTTGCCGTTCTGTTTAACAGGACAATTTCCGGCATAGCTCCCGTTGCTGATGCCAGCAGGTAATCTATGTTTCCTATATTTTGCTGGTTCTACTCAATTCTTATTTGCTATAGCTTTGAGTTTGTGATTAAGTTTCTGTGATCTCTTCCCTTTTTCTGTTAACGCGATTAAATGAATAGGTTTCATTATTGGTCCTTGTTCCATGGAGACATGTTAGAAATGGTCATTTCAGTAGTGTTTGAGCTTTTTATTTTTTTGATAATAACAGTATTTGCACCTAATAATCAATTATCAGCTCTGTACACTAGTTCATCAGGATCCAAAAATGCTACCTCCGTTTCAAAACAGCTTCTATTTTTTGTGGATTCTAAACTTGACAAAATGATATCGATAACGACATTAAACATCATAACAAGCATTAGGAATTGGAAAATGTTGATGACAATTAGCAGCAAAGCCTAGACCAATTTCCAAGGACATGGTTTATCTAAACGCAGCTTCTTTATATAGGTAATATCAAACTTCAAACATAGCTTCTTAAGATTCATGAATTTGGCAGAAAAACGTGTTAGTTCACCGGTATGTGGACACATGCTTGTCGTTTAAATTGTCAGTTCAAATCTATTGGGTATACAGGTCTACAATTGCATGCTTACTCTAAAGGTTACTTCTGTTTTTCAATGGCAGTTCTCAGTCTAGAGCTGATCTACTTACAATTGGGTTGGCAGTAACTAATATTCTAGCTGGTTTGGTGTGGCTATCAATTCGACCGAAAACCATATCCGTGGTAAGGTCTCTTTTAGCTGTATACATGAAATCAACTCATCAGTTTGATCTCTGTTCAAAAAGGCGCGCCATGCGCCATGTTGCAAAAAACGTCTTTGCGGTTACGAAATGGCCCATAGCGTTTTTGTAAGGTGTGGATCACGCCATGGCGCATGTTTTTTATAAGGCGTGATTTTTTTCCAACAAAAATACATTTTTTATTTTTTTTGTTCTTTTATCGTTTTTGTTTTTACACTTTTAACTTTAGATTTAACTAATTCATTCACAGTTTCACAAATTCATAAACGTTACGGACTCACGATTAAAATGAAGTTGATAAATTACCTTTCTAAGTTGTATTTTAAATATTTAATCAAAAACCTATTTTGATAATGATAATCTATATGATTTTCTTCTTCTAATATGAATGTACATTTTTTAACATCATTATCTGATTAGATAATATATAGAAAACACACACACACACATATATATATATATATATATGTATATATATATATATAGAGGAGTGATCATATGATATATATATATATACAAATTGAGTGGTTTGCATTTGATCGCTCCCCTATATATATATATATATAGACTTGGGATCATGTGAGACCAAGGATTTTTCGTGAGACCCGTAAGACCAATTCTTAACCCTTGGATTAGATTTACAATCTGAACATTCATAAACGCCACAAGACTTCTCAATAATCACAAAATTGCCACCGTGTAACTTTAGACCATTAGATCATTAGCTTATAAAGTTGATCAATGAACATAAATTGGTCTTACGGGTCTCACGAAAAACCCTTGGTCTCACGTGAACCCAACCCTATATATATATATATATATATATAATTCTATATATGACATACAAATTTGTCGCCTTATGTCACGCCTTAAAAGAGGTCGCCTCCTCGCCCTAGCGTGTAAGGCTTGAGGCTTGACGTCGCCTCCAAGCCACACCTCACGCCTTTTTAAACCTTGAGTTTGATACACAAACTTCAGATTTCTGTTTGTGTATTGAAAACATCAATATGACTGTAAACTTTGAATTCAGGTGCCACCCCGAGGTGTGGAGTGTGAAAGAATACATTCTAACGTTCCGGATCTTGTAGCTTCTGAACTAATATGGTATGGGAAACATAAACATGCCACACAATATGATAAAAGAGGTTAATAGTCACCAAAGGGTTATTGGCCCAGCGGTGAGTTACCAATAGATCCCAACCTCCCTAGAGGTCAAGGGTTCAAAGCCTCACTAAAGGTGAGGAGGGCATGTGAGTTTTGGTGTATATAGATGGTATATACTTCCAAAAATAAGATTAATAGAAGCAGCACATGAACTATGCAAGATTTTTTGGTCATGATGTATCACTCACATGCTTTTCTCAGGGCATGGGAATCATTGTCAGCCATGACGTGCAGCAGGTCTCTAGTTATTGTATATGATGACATTTGTGTTCTCCAAATTGGATGTGCTTCTGCAGCTTCCTCTAATGAAGGTGAACCATTGGTTGTAGATGCTGATAAGTTGATGCAAGGATCTATCTATCAAGGTGTTGTTAAATCTGGATCGCGTAAGCCATATATGATGACATCTGAAGTACTTGCCAATAAATTCTAATTCCTTCATCATAAGGAATGTGCTTTGAAGTTTAACAATTTTTACAGAGAGCTACTTGGCTAACTTATCTCTTTATCCTGGAAAATCCGAGCTGCCATTTCTCCCTTCAAATACACAGGTACTACATAAGTAGTTTCTCTGCTTCAGATACTTGCACTTGCTCTTGTAATTCATTCTGGTTGGTTGGTTTTTCATTAAGTTCTGTATGGATAAAGTTGTCTAAGTGGATTGATCTATCTGTATAGATTGGAAGGTTTTTGTTTGGGAGAGTTCTTTCATAGACGGAAGGAGCATGTTTATTAATTAAGAGGGGCAGGTTTGGAAAAAAAAAACTTGACTTTCGGCATAAAGTTCCTCCCTAGAAGCTTACTGAATAAGCCACTTTCTATATCATTAAGCCACTATCAATTAGTCATGTATAGCTCACTGAATAAGCTGTGATCCCATTAAGCTCGTTAAGTTGCTTACAGACAAACCCTAACCTATATGTGTTTTCATATCCCAATGTGAAGGAGAAGGGTATCATATAAAGGCTTCAAAATAGGAGAATGATCACTATTTTTGGTTGCAATTTTGTTTCTTTCTGTAAGGATGTGAAAAGTTCACTTGAGCATATGTAAAGTCAAGACTTTTCATTCAATCTGCATATCGATTACAGGCAGTCATCTTGCAACCACTTGGAGATAAAGGAATTGCAATACTTGGGGGTGACACCATCCGAGGCTTCACAGCATCAGACCAGGTGCACATTCGCCCTTTATGATAATCATCCATATTTTAGTCATGTACTCATCTTCGAACCATAAAGATATAAATTTGTTTTCACGGTGCCAAGTCCCCCTATATTGTGCTTTCGCGCTCCAAATCCATTTGAAGTGTGTCAAACAATCAAATTCATAGTAACATTGTAATGTTTGATTCGACATATAATTATAATGTAATTGTCTGAGTTTTTGCTAGATATATAAAATAACCTTCTTGGATGCAATTGGTACGCTTGACGAGATATGACAGAATAAAAATTTGTTGTCCCATATTTGTAGCTTAGAGTGAGATAAGAAAACAGAGGCTAGAGTGAGATGGGACAAAATTGATTAATTACTAAACTACCCATCAAATTAGAACCTTCACCATTCTTTCACCGCCAACCTCTCTCTTGCCCGACTTGTCCTATCTTGTCTAGTCCGCATACCAACGGCAAGGACCTAGTTCAATGGCATCAATTTATATGTAAATGATGGTATTAGGGGAATATGAACATGTGAATTTTCCATACAAAGGAAGTTTTGTAGTTTTCCTCTAATAACAGCTAGGAAGAAAAGTGTGGCAATTGTCATAGGACAGGGTTTTAGTGAGATAGTTATCATCCAATGAACTTTTACTTCTATTTAAATGGGTACCGAGTACCAACCTTTTATCCTTATATGCTGCTATCTGCAGGCATGGATCACGTTAATAGGAGAGAAGCTGGATGCAACGCTTTCTAAGCGTATGACCAGCATCCCTTTGGCAAGTGGCAGAGCAAGATAAAGGTTTTTCATAGTTGTGTTGGGCTCCAACCAAGGTAAGTTTCTGAACAATGGAATACTTAAATATAAAAATGAACCGACATTAAGACAAAATATATGTTATAAAAATATAGAATAATTAACATGTTTGATTGGGAAAATATATATATTTAATATTCTATAGACTAACATAACATGTATAGTACTCATTTTGTCTTGATAATTATGCATTCGATTCTATTTTTGGTATAAGATAATGGCCTCTTTTTGGAACAAGGAATCTAATTTTGGTTGCCTTATTGTGTTAAGCTTAGAAATAATAATCTATACAATCTAAGAATTTAAGAAACTAGAATTCATTAGTAATATTTTTTTGTTTGATATTCATAAGTTACCTTATTTTTTTAGCTTATTTAAAAGGTCTGATATATTATAACTTTTGAAACGTTACTTCAGATAGTATTTTAGTAAGCTTTAGGGACATTTTTTCTATTTCTTTTTCCAACTATGCCCTCTATATTTTTCTAATTAATTTTCGAACAAATCTATTTAGATCATGTTACATTGTCATCTAACTTATTATCTAATTTTTTACAAATATGATTAATTTATGCTTAGCAATCAACCTCTAGCTTTTTAGGTGACAAATAAACAAATAAGAAATACATCTAGCGACAACTAAGACAAAGAGGATTGGTAATATACACCATCTTTAATGTCAAAATTAAAATCATGCATTACAGTGAGTTTTGATGTTGATTTGTGATGAGAAAATTACTAGGTAGGGTGCATTTAGCGGATCGACTCCAGGGCAAATAACAAATCAGCCGACAACTAGTTAATTAGCTTGTGAACATTCCACCCATGTATATTGCTAAATACACCTTTGTCAAGTATTTTTTTTTTGCACAAGTCAACATCAAAACCTGTTTTTGGCATTCTCAATGTATGATTTAACCTAATTATGACATTAAAAAGGTTCAAAATAGCATTGAAACTTTGAAACATAGCCCAACCAATTCAGTGAAACCCAAAGAAAGAATTATATTACATGGTCATAATATTACAACTGTCCAAAGATCCCCCAATGAATTCATACCCTTCTCCATGGATGAAAAATACAATAAACTAATATCAAAATGGAAGAAAAGAATATATGTATGAACAAATGAAAAGTATATCACTGAATCTGCTCTATGTCTGTATGTCCCAAAGATCTAGCCCATGGCAAAACCCCAGTTGAAATATCAGCTAAGTTAGCTAGAACAAAGTCCCTTAAACCAGTATCCCAAACTTCACAGAACCTTAGTCTCCAGTCGGCCGGTTCGATTGCTTCCGTTCCCAACCCAGGCGCCCGATCTCTCGATCCTTCGTTGTGGCTATCTTGCCAATCAGCCACATACGTAGCAACCCTTCTGTAAAACTTTGCCCTAAAAGCCTCCCAAACTTGATACTTATAGTGATTTATAACAGCAGTGCTTTGACGCACATCTTCATAACCAAAACCTTCCCTTAAGTGGAAATGGTGCACCACATTCATTAGAGTCGTATCCATCGCATCTGGTCTGATGATCGATTTGTGCCTTTCGGGACTCTGTAATCTGCAAGTGTACCCTACCGTTACCCCTTGCTTAGGTGGCGAACGTAAACCCGATGGCCCAAAACTATGGCAAGCTGTTCTAAGCTCCCCAGTTGATGGAGAAGTTGAAGTGTAGTTTGAAACTAAGGTTCGGAGAGCATCCTGGCCCGTGGAATCGCTCCCTGTGAGCCTCGGAAAGTAATAGAACTCATCGACATCCATGAAAGAAACCCAATTACATTCATCTCTAGCTCTTATAGCACAATGTGAAAACCCAGCTTCTTGAGTCTTGATCCATGGCCAAACATGTCTGCTAACATTATAACCCTCGAGATCGAGCTTGTTGATCACCTCCTGAATCTCGTCATCGCTGTTGTTATCGTAAATAAACCATCTTTCGACTCCTAGCCACGAGTGATAAGTTACCCATTCACGAATTGAATCGGCTTGGTTCCACAGCATCGTGCAGACACAAAGCTCGTGTTTCGGTGTCGGTTTCTTCTCCTCCAATGTCGAACCCGATATCTTTGCGACAGATGGAACAAAGACTCGGTGATCGTGGGTTCTACGGTTACGAAACGTTGGCATTCGAAAACTAACGGTGACTCGGATCCCCTGAGCCTTTTCCGGGTGCGTTTCGAGACTTTTCGGCAACACACACCTTACAACTTCTTGAGCAGCTGTTAATACTCTAGAGGTAAGTATGTATTTCTCATTCCCTAACCCGAAATGGCAATTGAACCGATTCGGGTCGGATTCTTTATCCTGTCTATGACTAATCCCTTTCACAAACACCACCGCGGTGTTCCCATCCACCACCGCCTCGTACGCCAAATTCTCCCACGAATTCAACCCTCCGTCCGCCGTACCCACCACCACACCACCCTGGCTACGTATACCGACCACCGATGAGAAGTTCGGCGGAGGAAGCGGACAGCGGAGGAGCCACCGGATGTCGTTGTATTCATCCACCGACAACACATCCCTAACACCACCAGAATCGGTATCATTACTTCCGTACACACATTCCAATCCTTTTCTATTTCCATTCCATCTTCCAATGCCGAATCCGACATCTTTCGAAACCAACACTAGAACATGATCAGGAAACAGAACTATATCGTCAATCTTAAACCGAGTCAACTCACCGGAGAATCGATGGAAAGTAAACGATGCGGATGATCCGACGAGAGGGTAAAACGACGGCGTGGGTCGCCGGAAAAGGATAAAGAAGAAAGCAAAGAAAGATAAGGAATAAAGCAGAGATCTTAGAGAAAAGAAATGGTGTGTGGGTTTAAGAAAACGCTTCCGCTTCCGGCGTTGGTCGGAAGAATCCATGAAAGAGTATGCAAGTAGTTTGGATCTGCTATCTTTACGGCGGCGGCCGAGAGGGTGTGGTCTGAGGGAGTTGTACGTTTGTCTGTAGGAGTTGTACAGTGGAATGGGTTTTTGAGAAAAAAGGATATGGAAAAAATGGAGGTGAAGGAGGGTGGTCCTTTATGACGCGTAAAGAATAGGTTTCAATGATTTAGACGAATTTTGAACGTGGGAGGAGCATTTGCTACTTGACGCATGTCGATACCCCTTTCCCTATTATTATTTTATGTGTGTTTTTTAATTAAATTTTAGGCTGCTAAAACTATTCAACTTTGGTGTCGTGTCGTGTCGTGTCTCTCCATCAAATAACGATGACCTTTTGAATCAGTTATTGCTACATTACGAACCCAAATTCGTATCTTCCGTTGGACTGGGTTCCACTTCCACCTTTATTTTGGAATTTTAGATCTCTTATTCCACATGTTCTTAGTTATAAATCTGTATGATAGGATGGAATTTAAGATTTTATTGTAAAAACAAAATAATAAATATAATAGTAAAAAAAGCTAAAATATAAAATTTTATGTTTAAATAAAATAAGAATTACTTATTTTTAGATATGTTTGAAAAAACCCTAAAGTATCATAATGATAGGATGTGTAAAATTAAAGATTATAAATATTCAATTCTTGTTTGAGTAAATTGCAATTTTGGTCCTTGTGGTTTGTTGTTTTTCGGATTGGATCCCTAGAATGTATCCAAAAATGTTTTGTTTTGATCCTTGAGGCTAATCCAGATTTTCTTTCGTTAAATCCCCTCAGTCGACTTGCATAAGAAGGTTTAAGAGTCATTTTACCTTTTCTTCGTTTTCCATTTAAAATAAAAGACATCATAAGTGTGTGTGTATATATATATATATATATATATATATATATATATATATATATAGGTGAAGCATCATGTGAGATAGAGGGTTAAGATGAGAAGTGTAAGATGAGATCTGAAGCTTGATCATTTTTAATCTCAAACTCACTCATTAATCATGTTTGATACGAGGATTGATCTGGTGCATCCAAGAATAGGGATCCCTTCTTACGCTTCTTACATTAATTCTTTTCACAGGATCCCAACCCTAAATATTATATATATATATATATATATGTACATACATATGTATGTATAGAGAGAGAGAGAGTATTGTGCGAGAATAGAAATTAAGGTGAGAAATGTAAGAACGAAATTTGGACCATTGATCACTTTTAATCTCAAACTACTCATGAATTGCACTTTGAAAGAAAATTGATCCACCGTATCTCATTAGGGTTGATCTTGTGGTCTACTCATAATTTTTATCTTTGTATCTGTGGTTTAGAAATTATGATTTATAATTTATTGTTATTTTCGTCCACGGACTAATTCCTAATTTTAAATATAAGGGACCAAAACAATAAATAATTATAAACCGCAAGCACTGAACAACAATAAATTATAAATCATAATGATAAAAATAACAAATAAATTACAAAATCCTAATTTCTCAACCATGCGGAAAAGTTTAGCAAATCACATAGTTTACTCTAATTTATTTTAGTTTTAAGCTAATTTCACAACTTTTTGACTTTTTTTTCATTTTACACCATAAATACTATTTAAATACATATTTTTATCATCGATATTATCATGCAAAATCGTTTGCTTATTGATTTGATGTCACAAATCAATAATAATCCGTTTTAACTGCAGTTGGAAACATCACTTCCCCAAGCTTTGTGGGTTGCTTTAAAAAGGCCTCATGGTTTTATTAGAAAAAGCATCTACAACTTAAAATGGGTGTACAATACAGGCAAATGGAATTTTTAATAAAATAAAAGACTCAAATTTAAATAATTTAATATATCTCAAAATTCATTACAAAATCATTTCTTACATCTTGTTTATTAAGTAAAACATTTGAGTTCAAAATACTGAGCTCTAACATTTTTTCCTTTTGATAATGTATTATTATTGATCTGATTCATAGTCGGGTTATGTTAATATCAATTATTCAAAATATACCATATTGAAACAACCTTCTAAAATAAACATTGCATACCTTAACAACACATATAACCATGTAATTATACAAAATAGTTGCTTACTACATTCACTTGATGTGTGACCCATCAGCTGTACTTTAACGATGTCTTTAATAAAAGTCCGACAGACCTACTTGTCATGATGTCATCACAGTTTCTTATCATATACCCTTCATTGTGTGAATTATGCCACCCCACAACACATTCATGTGCAATATATCATTTTCATACCAAACGGTCTTTGGCCTCCTAAAAAGTTTAGGGTTCAGACCTCACCAAAGTGAGTAGAATGTGTGAGTTTATTGTTCTATTTGTCGTATATAAATATTATATACTTCAAAAAAATATATCATTTTCATGTATGTAGTTTTAAACATAAAATAAATGTTTGCATGTTTTAAATCATTCACAATACCATTTAACAAATGAAATGGAAATGGAACATTCAATAACCATACTAACATCAAACTTACTTGAGATTTTCATATATTTTGTTTCACTTCACACAAATTTTATCGACTTCCTACAAGTTTAGGATAACAAATAGGATATTCTATCATATAATAACACTAAACATGCATCCTACTGCATATTAAGTCACTTGGTTGATTTTTTTCACTGTTGACATAACATGTGTCTAAACATCAATAACTGGATTCATTTGAGGTAACTTTATCATTCAGTACTTTATTTAAGGTAATAATCACACTTACGTATCAGTTCCATGACCAAATTCTATGAAACTTCCTTTTCAATCTTGAAATTGATGATAATGTCAAAACAATAACCTTAACATCATTTTACGAAAATCAAAGTCTAACTTTGAAAGCTCTACGAATTCTACTTCTCGACATTATATAACATACTACAACATTTAATAATTAATACACCAGTGATCTTGAATAACCCAAAACCTCAATTTTTTATGGTTTGCGTAATATTTTGATACTTCAAGTTTTTTTATGTAAATATAATATTTAAAATGTATTTTAATGTTCAATTTTAAAAATCATAATTATAAAAACTTAATACAATACTTTTGTATAAATGCCTATGGTGTGTAGTTCAGTCGGCAAAAAAGATAGGATGATTTTGCCAAATACAAGACATGTCATGTGTTTGATCCCGGGCCCCACACTAGTCTTAGCTGCTGAATGAGCTAAAAAACATTCTTTCATATTGGTGTTTTTGGAAAAAGGGTTCTATATGGAATCATAATCAACTAAATTATGATTTGTTTGAAAATCTCTATTTTCGTCTTTATATTTTTTAAATTATGATTTTCATTTTTATGATTTATAGTTTATTATTATTTTTTCTTTATAATTTAAAATTTGTTATTTTTTTCATTCCTATAGTTTAAATTCATTTCAATTTTAATCTTTCATGCTTCAAAGTAATTTTTTTTTTTTGATTAACCTGGATATCCAACCCGTTATGCGAGCCGACTAATCGCAGGACGGACCACCTGCTCTGCAGATAGTCCGGAGTCAATGCATTTGAATGTTTTGACCTTGAGGACTGTTGGGTCACCTATTGATTTGGTGATGACCCACTGATCTGTTCCTCTACCTTAGCAACACTTAGTAGTTATTGTTTCTTTGTAAGTTGGTGTCTTGGTACATACTTAAAGCCATTGGCAAAATCGAAGACTAGCCGATGTGAAGA